CTCTCTCTCTCTCTCTGTGTGTGTGTGTGTGTGTGTGTGTGTGTGTGTGTGTGTGTGTGTGTGAATACATCAGTGTGTGAGGGGGTGGTGCCCATTCAGAGTATTCAGGGTCTGAAAGTGGTGGCGCCACAGAGGATGGCTATGCGTTTTTGCTGAATGAAGACGTAGGCACCTTCACCAGTGAAATCCGGTGTTTGTTCAGTGCCGCTGGCAGTTCCTGACTGGTGGAAAAAGTTACAGCCGTCATCAGTTGTACTCAGTCCACAAACGGATTGAAACAATGCATTTATGAAATCATGGATGGATTGGTTGTATCGAAGGGAAAATTATCCAGAGAGCTTCTGAAAAAAAAATGAAGCAGCTACTATTGGGCCTCGCTCCACTACTGTCCACTGTACGAATTTGTGGACAGTTCACGGACAGCAGTCAGAGAGTTCGAAATAGCGAAATCGGGGAAAACGCGCTTCCTGTCCTTTGTACACCTCTCAAATTCGTGAGTTCACTACCAGGCGCAGTGATAGAACTACAAGACAGGGCGTCCATAGGGTTTTGTCCGCCCGAACTCCAGGTCTTTTGTCCGCCCGAACTCCAGGTCCACTCTCCAAATTCGCATCCTCAGGGCGTAGTTGCACTACTAGCCATCCGTCACAATTCGTGGCGGATGCGTGGAGAGTGAAAAAAAAATGAGAATCGTGTCGAACTCGAGGCCTGGTTGCACTTACTCGCCGCTATATTTCTTCTACAGAAAAGTTTTAAAATTTTCTCTACCTGATGTCGAATCGTGAAGCCGTGCACTCTCCAGAAAGCTGTTTTGTGGAGAGGTCCAAGGGCCACCCTCCACAAACCGCCGTGCACAGGCGGGGAAACCGAAAACACTCTCCACAACTTGTGTCGACGGTGTGGCGAGCCGTCTGGCACATTTTGCATTTGCCAAGTTTGGCGAGTAAGTGCAACCAACCAGGCGCCTACTCGCCAAACTTGGGGCCTCGTTCCACTCCACTACTCGCCATCCGCCACACCTGGCGAACGTGACTTCGTTCCATTGCATCGCCAATCGCCACAGAACGGTCTATGTCAGAAATTCGGTCCCAAAGCACTTCGCGGTAGGTCGCCACGGCCTCCCTATACACCCGCCTGCAATGGGCTTTCGTGGAGGGCGGCACTGGTCACCCCTCCACGAACTGCTACGTGTGGCGACCGGCCCTGACACCACGGCCCTGGCAGTAGGCCTGGCTTGTCCCGTAGTGCTGGCAAGCGTGGTGTGAATTTCTGTGGCCTCACCACACCACTCCCAAAATGTGAAAAAGGAGCGGGTGCATCCGGCCATGTTCTAGCAGTAAGTTCATTCCCATTTTGCACATTTCGAGCGTGGTGTGGCAATGCCCCTGGTCCCGTGTACATGTGGAGAAAAGCCAGCACCGTTCCACCGGTCCGCCATCCGCCACAGTCCAGTGTTCAGGCCGGAACGGTTACCACAACTCGTGTGGCGGGGGCAACCATCGTTTTCCGCCACGATTTTCATGTTCTCGGCCTCGCCAAGACTCGCCATGATTTGTGGCAGATGGCGAGTAGTGGAACGAGGCCCTTGGAGTATCGCGAGGAGTGCAACTAGGCCCGCACGGTGAGCCCCTTGAAGGACTCTCCGTGTAACAAATTTTGCTGGCTGGGAGCTGTACATTCACGGACAGTCGATTTTGCACCGGGTTTCTTTTTTTTTTTTTTTAATTTGGACCATTTCTCGATTTATGCGTGTCATCCTTGCGCAGGGGCCATGCTAATCTTCTCTGTATCGTTTCAATTTTAACGGATGTCCCGAAGGACTTCCACCGGGTTTCTGGACACTGTCCAAGCCATTTTGCACATGTACAGTGGACAGTAAGTGGAGCGAAGCACGACTGTCCGTTTTTGTACAGTGGACAGTAGTGGAGCGAGGCCCTTGCCTCAGTCGACACCGACTCGACGGTCATTGATTTAAATTTGGAAATTATTTTTATGAAATTTTTGATTTTCTCTCTTTTTGGCAACTTGTTGCGGTAATAGATTTTTTTTTTTTTTTTTTTTTTTTGGGAAAGTAATAGAAAATGAACCTCGCTTTTGTGGACAAACAACATCCAGGTAAATGGCTGATTTTCTCTTGTTTGTCCCGTGGTGTATGAGGGAAGTTTTTTCTTTCTTTTTTTTCCCGATAGAATCATAGAAGACATTACTGCGAGGAGTTCTCCCCTCGGCATACCTACGTAAGGCCCCTGCAATGGACACGTGCCCGCCCTAAGTGAAGGCGGGGCCCCTGAATCCCAATGAGCCCTGAATTCATCAATTTTTGCAAATCTTGGTGGGCGCCAGACAGGTGCCACGCGGCGGTTGGTTACATCCGCCTTGCTCTTGAGAATCAGAAATACATTTGTGAGCCTTCCGGGCCAAGGTCCCACTAGCAGAGAGGATTGGATTGAACACCTGGATCTTGACTTGTTTCTGGAAAGGTGCAGAATGTCGAGATTGAACAGCATTTCCGCATCTCTGCTTGAAACACGTCCAGATTCAGGATATTTATCCAACCCTCTTTTGGTGGGACCTCACCCCCGGGCTCTTCCAGCAACGTGGTGAAAGCAGGGAGCACCGCACGTTTGCGCCTGGGTGGTTGGGCTGCCTAACCAATTCGGTCCCAGGCCACTGTCTGAACGGGCCTCGGCGCAGACACTGTGGCCGAGTGTGAAGCCGCTGGAAACTCGGTCCTGGAGGCAGACAGAAGGCAGCGTGCCCACACTTTTGATACAGGAAAGCACCTGGAGGCGCGAGCGGCAACGCTGCTGGAGCAGGAGCTCGCGGCTGCATGCTTAGCGCTGGCGCAGGTGCCAGGCGCGCACGAGGAGAATAGTTCCAATGGTAGAACAATGGTCTCCAAAACCATAGGTTAAGGGTTCAAATCCCTTTTCTCCTGTAATGTAATTATAATTAATGTTCCTATCTATATCAAAACAAACCTTTCAATTCAATTCAATTCAATTCAAAAAAAAAATCCAAAAAAACACAAAATTTGACCCCGAAACCCTAATTTCAGGATCATTCATGGTTACTCAGGGCCAAAAAGTGGGGGTCCCCGTTAACGGCTTGTGTGCATGTACTTCAGTTGCTGCTGCTGATGTCAACAAGTTGCTTGTCATTTCATTGCACATAGTGTAGCCTGTAGGATAGTATACCAGGTGCTGAGCGCCAGTAGGATAGTATACCAGGCACTGAGCGCCAGTAGGAGGACGAGCTACGATTACATTGTTGCCGGTGGCGAGCATATGCTTTCATGGACAATTGAATTACATGCTTTGGTTCTGCTTCGCTGTAATATCAGTGATTCAGTGCAATTCTGCTTTCTGGACAGCATTCCACTATGTGGCTTTTGATGTGATTTGCTATCTGGAAATCTGTGATTTCGCTATTGCTCATTTTTCTTGCATTACTCTTCCCATTAC